ATTACATACTTTATCATAGATCCAGTAGAAGTAGATGAATTGAAAGTAAGCTGCTATACTTAGTAGATCTAACTATATCTTTGATGTTCTTTTGATCTTTTTGTATTGACTCTTGCATTACTTTAGAAAAAGATTCAAGGATTACGTGACAGTGCTTTAAAAAGAATTGATAAGTCTCATAAGACACATGTCAAAGGAGGAGTTACATGCATAAATGATGAAAGATTGCAGCTATTTCTTCATCAAATTGAGAATAAGATGTTGTTAGTAGCTGTTGTGGGTGAAGGCAGTTGTGGCAAGAGTACTCTTATTAATGCCTTTTTAAGAGACAAGTATGCAAGCAAATTAATAACAATTGACTATTCTTATGCCTTAGGATCTTACCATCAGGAATTGGAAAAGTTACTGGCTTCAGGATATTTATTGGACATGATTCAAATGTTCATAAAACTCCTTGTCCAAACTTCCCTAAAGGGAATTGTAATGTAAGTGCATAAAAATAACTAAAAAGCAATGGCAAAATCCTAATATTCCACATGCATTTATGTTATAGAAGTGTCCATATTTGGTCAAAGGAATTGACCAAAGAAAAGACATATTTTCCCATGGAGTAAAAGACATTGCTTCAAAAATAGCAGAAAATAACAAGCTAGATGAGAAGAATCAGATAGACCTTGTTCTTTATACTTACATTCCTTTATTTGCATCATTGAACACTTCAACCCACTTTACGCCTTACCTTGTGGACTATCCTGGAGTTGAAGATTTGAAAGATTACGTTCAGTTTAGGATAGTGTCTGCTATGATTTATGTTGAGAACTATGAAAGGTAAAACAATATAATGTAATAAAATATATGCCTATTTTATAGGCTGTTGCAAAATGAAAAAAAAATTAAGGAACACTTACATTGCAAGCCAGAAGATGGTAATTATAATTGTAAAACTATGCCTTCAATTAATGCTGTCTGCAGTAAAAAAATAACTGCCCTGCATGTTAGAAATCATAATTTTTCTATTTATAAATTATAGCATCAAAGTTTTTTGCTGTGAGCCATTTTGACAAATACTACACATCACGTGCCGATGAAGAAAATCCTGGAACAGAGGAGACTAAAGCTATAGTTGCACGTAATATTGAGCTGGTAAAATGTGAAGAGGTATTTCCTGTTTGTGGTGAGTGGGCTCTACGTGCACACCTTGCACTCAAGTATAAGGAAAGAGATAAGATTTCATGTGATGCTGTTAAGGTGGCTTGCATATTATGTAAAAATGTACAACCTGAATCAAAACTTCCTGATGCAATAGTTGCAAAAGCTTCACACATTTTAGACGTTTCAGCCTTTGAAGAATTAGAAGAAAGGTGCACATTCTAAATCTATACCAGTTGAAGCTAAAATTTTATTTAAATAGTTTAAAATCTTCAATTGATCAAACTAATTTTCAGCAGTGGAATGTCACAGTGTATCAACAATGTTGCGCACTTTTAGAAGGTCCCATTCAAACAGGAGATAATGTTTTACAGATTATTGAGTCTAAAATGAAAAGTAAACCATACTACGTGGGGGAAATTATTGAGCTAAATTTAATAAATAGGTAGCAGAAAAAATAAACGTGAACTATCGGTAAAAATTCAAACTTTACAGACTATGGAAAAAGCTGTTCAAAAAAGTGCTTCAGAAGAATTAAAACTAGATTCACACCAAAATTTGTCCGTAAGTTAATTTTCATCATGATAATAATTTCAATATAAAGTTCAGGATTTTCTTACAAAAAGAATACGTAAAAAAATTGAAGGAAGACTAAAGTCATTTCATACCAGCTGTATGGATAGTGTTAAATCTGGCAACAATTACACATTTGGAGAATTTATGAGAGGTAACATTATGATGCATATTAGAGTATAGATCTATGATATTTTTAATGTAGACAGGAATGTGTTTATTGAGCAGGACCTTTCCATTGTGATTATGGAAGAGCTGAACAAAGAAGCAAAAAAGCATATTGAAGCAGTAAAATCCAGGCTTCGAGAAAAATATAATGGATTGGTAAGGCACATACTGGGTGATGATCCTAACAGTATAGTTTTCAATGTGGAAGGTATAATGAAATAATTAATATAGTCATTTATACTTTTAATAGCTGAAGCCCAAGAAGTTAATAGCTGCTTTACTGCTGAGGCCGCTGAAGGCATAATGGGCTTTGTCAGGTAAAATCGATAACCTGTATACTTGCTCTATGTCCAAAATAGCTATAGAGCTCGAATGAGAAGATTGTGGAATGTTGGATTGGGAGTAGCTAGTGGAGTGAGTGGCTTTGGAGTGCCAGGCGTTTTAGTTACTATGGGCTTATTGGCTTCATCGGCACCGGTTTTAATCTCGTCAGCTGCAGTTATTGCTGGGATAGGTGGATCCGCTTTACTCATCAGAAGAGGATTAAACAGTACAGATCAAAATATAGAACTGAGGTATTATTATAATACCAATGATTGAATAATTTATAAGAACACTAGTAAAGATGAAGTCAAGCAACTGTGTGAGAAAACAAAGAATGAGATTAAAAATAAATCTGAAACCAAGATAGAACATGAATTTGAGAAAGTACAATTAAACTAATTTCACATCATAATGTTTTGTACTATAACAGGCTGTAACAAGTACATTGAGCGAATACAATGAATCACTGAAGGCTGAATATGATAGCAAATGGAAACCAAAACTCAAAGAAGACTTTGACAAAGTCAGTGTAGGAAAAATAACGTAAATTAAATTTTTGGGGTTTTACAGACTGTGAAGTTATTAGTAATCATGGGTGAAGAAAAGAGTGAGTTGAAACAAGCACTTGATGAGCTTAAGGAGTATCGCAGTTTTCTTCAAGATTTAATTGATGAAAGCAATAGACCTAAAGATGAAGATTTTATTATGCTCTGATCAATTCTGACCTGTGCACTTATATATTAGTATTACGCTTAGTATTATGCTTATAGTATTTTGTAGTAGTTATACGAAGGTGTAAAATTTTGTTGATTAGTATTAAGTTTATTTTAAGGCTATACAATATTATTTCTTAGAAATTCTAAACAACAAATATTCAATAATAAAAAGAATCAGCAGAACTATAGAAATAATTATAATAAAATCAATCTTGATTATTGCAATGCATAAAGTAATGTTCTGTTGCACTGTACACATACATTCAGGAGAAATACTACATGGAATAATTATTTAAGGAATAATGTCATAACTATGTGGAGGAATAGACCAATGGCACCGTAGCAACTGTCACTGTACCACAACCACCGAGAGGGTTTTTGGACAACCATGAAAACAAACTGGCACAATAATAGTGAGCAAATTTGATGTTTACATTTTTCAATAATCCAGTTTTTAAAATAATATTCGAACCATATACAATTTTGTCCATAAATTTTAGCTTGGCTGAAAAAAATAGATTACACTATGCAGCCATACACACAAACAATCTGTGTGCAATGGAATGAGAGGGCTGGGTTGAGAAGGTATGCAAAGTTAAATTAGCGACCACAATTTACATTCAATAATATTCAATTCTCACGCACTTTAAGTACAGTAATTTCCAGTAAAATTAAAGTTTTATAGGATTACTCTAGCATTTGATAGATGCAACCTTTCAGTTTAGTGGTTGATAGATGTGGTTTACTATGTGAACACATTCTGTTTTTAATCATAATTAATTAATTCTTAATTATAGTAACCTAGTTTATGATTATGTTCATGTATAGTCGGTTCAAGTTGAGTTGCCCAAGTACCACCCCTTATAACTTTTTAATCACTAATGCTAGCAACCTGAAATTTAGTATACTTGCAAAACGGGTTCTTCCGAAAATCTGTACCAATTTTTGAGTCTCTAGGTACTCTGGAAGGTTCTGAATGGGTTCTTCCGCTCTAGTTCAAAGGGAGCCTCCATGATGAATCATTACGTGTAGGCTACATCACACTCGTGAATATCATTTGCATTTCATTACTATTAATGTTTTTTTATTTATAAAATAAAAGCAAACAGATAAGGTCCTCTAGAGAAGCTGGTGTTCAACTAGCAGACCTTGCTACTGGAAACATACTGCTACATCTGTCTACAGCCTTCTTGGTTCTAGTTATTCTTCATCATCCTCAATCTAGGTTGATATCTTCCGTATCCGAGGTCTCTGTCAACTTTATAACAGAAAAAGGTCCAGCCAGTGATAATTAAAGGTAGTAGTATCCAAAGCAAGGATAAAACAGATGACAAAGAGTCTTAGAGGTGAAGAAACACTCAATAAAAGAGCTTGCTTGCACTGTACCTGTACCACCATTTTTGGGTGTGGCTAGTAGTGACGTTTTGATGATGCAAAAATTGATTTACTTCCTGTGACAACTCAACTTGAACTAGTGATGGGCGATATGGCCAATTTTCTTAATTTTCGATAACGATCGATATTGGACTTTTAAAGGAAATATCGATTATTAACGATACGATAACCACACCTTCATTTTGGGGGCGTGTCAAGGGTGTGGCTAATGATTTTGGCACAGATATAACTGTACTTGTCATGAGAGAGGATCATTTTCATGCTCTTGAACTTGGTTCTCTTCTTATTGGGGTAGGCTGAGCTAACAACTGGTCAGTTGCTTCTTTCTTGCAGTTCAACAGTGCAATTAGTTATTAAAATTAGTTATTTAACCTTAACAAATGAGCGTGGTCAATAGATCGATGAAAATTGCATAAAAATTTCGATAATGATTCAAATCGATTCCGTAAAATATCGTTTATATCGATAAAGAATCGATATATCGCCCATCACTAACTTGAACCAACTATATATATATAAGATTAGCTAGCTATAAATAGCTAGCCATAAATAATAGAGTTTTTCATTACTTAATTTACTTTACTTTATCTCTATTATCTATGGCGCCCGCGCGCATAGGCATACTCCCTGTGACGTCACCAATATAATAATTATTATTATTATTTGCATGTACATGTATATTATATCTAGTCTCACTAGCCAGACTCTAATTTACTGAATAAGAGTCTGGTGCCATGCCTAATATCAACTCGTGTTTTCAATGTTTTGATTTGCGTGGGCAAGGAATGTTTTTTTAACGATCATAGCAAAAGCTAATAATAAATTGACAAATAATAGATTAATATAGATTAGATGAAATGAATGATTTTAATTTAGAAATAGAGATAGAACGTTAATCTCTCTAAACAAGCCCACGCACTACAATATTGTGGATTTATTATTTTTATATATATGTATACTGATTTTATACTTGCTTGTATTATAAGTTGTATATTTTATACTTCATACTTGCTCCTGGCATCAAGAAATTTTATTCATCTCGGATCCAAACACATTATTTCTAGAAGCATTTCTTTACTTGCCTAATTGTCTAACCATCAGAGCAGATAAAGGCAATCCAGTCGGCAGTTGTAGTCATAGAAAGAAAGTGTAATAGCTCAGTTAGTTCCATTCTTGATAATAGACTTGCCGTGCGTGGGCGAATTCTAATGTAACCATGGTAACAGTGATCTGATTAGGTCGACCAAATTCCGCCAGGCAAGCATGAGTTGATGTTGCACGTTGGGCATGAAACCAGACTCTACTCTAAAAATTGGGTCTGGCCCAACGAGACTATAATTATATCCACTAGCACTTCCGGACCCGGTACCGGTTTTGTATGGTATCTATGGGCAAATAAGATTCTCTCGAGCGGATTCATTGGACATGGGAAAAGCAGCATCAAAATTAGGTAAGTCAACAATTATTAAGTCAGATATCTAACGTTTGTTTTATGTATAGATTTTTCAAAAGTAGATAAATTAATTAAAGTAAGCCATGGGCAGTTAGGGAGCAGGAGAGGCAAATGCCTTGGGCCCCACAATTTTAAGGGCCCCCACGAAATTAAAAAAAAAACTAAATTGAAACAAAACTGAATGAACAAAGCTCGTTACAAAATTAGTCTCACGTAGCCAAAATCCTGGCTATTCTGGCCTTTTGCTTAGCAAAAATTAATAATAATAATATCCAAGTTTAACTTCCAAACTAATTACTGTATTCCAAGCTGTATCATAGATATTAGAGTTAAAAGGAAAGGGATAAGAAGCCATGAAATTGCATATCCTAGCAACCAAGCTGGTATGTCAGTGGCGTGAAATATTTTGGCTATGAAATGGAGATGTATTGCAGCAGTTTGTTATCAGTAAAAAAGCATGCTTGATTTTAAAACTTTCCCTTGATACCTTTGTATGAACCATACTGCAAACTGGCTCATCGAAAATGATGTTCAAAAGTGCTAAGTGCAGATGATGTTAATAATTTGGCCTTGGATTTTTTTACACAAATATATATTGCCATTACAGAGGTAACAGAGGTATTTTCACATTACAACACAGCGATAAGTTAAAACTATATTTTTCGATTCAAGGCTGTTTCCAATGACTCTAACAGTCTTTTTGGTAGTAATCTTTTGAAAAGCAGAAAAGGGCTACTCCCAGAACAACACTCCTGGAAATACTAAATCGTATGATAGTTTCTCTTCTAATTCAGAGAAGGCCTGTCATGAACCTGTCAACCTATCAATAGCTTGTTTTCAAATTTTATACACTGATTATTTGTTAAAATTGATTAGATTTAATGCGGTACAGGCGAAGCACATTTCCTGCCAGGAACGGTGGTTTCCAATCCATTTCCTTTTAACTCTAATATCTATGGCTGCATCCTTCTTTATGGTAATGGTTGCAGTAAACAGGTACTAGTGTACCCTTTTGTTGAATATTACTTAATTATTCATAAAAATTACTAAGCACACCACTATAAATATAACCAAGAGTAGATAATAATTAGAAGAGAGTGTCCTACTGTGCATATACCTCCTGCTTCATCACAGCGTAGAATTGAAGAGTCACATTCAGGATATTTTCAGTATTCTTGAGTAGTTATTGAAAATAACTAGCAATAACTATAACTACTCAATGAAAATACTGAAAATATCCTGAATGTGACTCTTCAATTCTACGCCGTGATGAAGCAGGAGGTATATCACAGTAGGACACTCTCTTCTAATTATTATTCTACTCTTAATATAACGAAAGCCATAAAAAACTTTCAGTGCACTTCAGAGGAGGTTCAGCCTGGTCAAAAGGTCACTTGATTGATATCAAGCCCTACTGAATAAACAATGCCAATAAGATATCCACTGGTGTTCCCCTCAATTTTAGTATTTCCTCATTGCTGTTCATGTACCCCTTTTTATTTTGTAAATATATAAAAGAAGGTGTGATCACAATAAAAGAATGCAAAATATTTAATTAGCTTGACTTTCTAAAGTTTCTGTCGAACCTCCTTTGCATGGTCCCCCCAGGCCCCACCAATGCTTTCATTGGCTTTGCTTAATCCCACCAGATGACAAGTTCTCACTGGTTACTGAGTTACATGTAACTTATGTTTCACATTTTAGAAAAAGGTTAAAGAATTACGTGATGGTGCTCTTAAAAAAATTGATGACTCTTGTAAAGAATATAAGGAAGGAGGTCCATGCATTAATGAAAAGGAACTGGAGTTATTTCTCCATCAAATTGAGAATAAGATGTTATTAGTAGCTGTTGTGGGGGAAGGCAGTTGTGGCAAGAGTACTCTTATTAATGCCTTTTTAAGAGACAAGTATATATACACACAACCATAAAAAAGTTATAGTGACTATTTATTATGTCTTAGGATCCTACCAGCAGGAATTGGAAGAGTTACTGGTTTCAGGATATTTATTGGACATGATCCAAATGTTCATGAAACTCCTTGTGAGAGCTCCACTGGGTACTGTGATGTGAGTACATTTTTTTCTTTTTTCGCTTTGTTATTTTAATATGTATGAAGCTAAAGTACTGTTATGTATTAGCAAAAATACTGAAATTGGTGCTAGTAGAATTAAAATTTTACATTAGTCAGACCATAAATTTTAATTCTACTATAGCCCCTATGTGAACTTGTGTTTATGCAGACGCATGTATATCTAGTCTCTTGTGGCCTAATTTTTGAATGAAGTCTTGTGCCTAATATTAATAGTACATTGTATAAGTTGTTTTTTTCAAGAGAATTATATTTTACGAAATCTACTAAGATTCCAATTTGCAAATTTTAATTTCACAAATTCTACCATGTGTGCCATGCAGTACTGTATTAAATTGATTTTTGTGGATTTTATTTTCATAAATCAGGAAGGAATCCGTGAAATCCGTCAAATTCGCAACCCTAAAAAAACCACTTTTACTGTACATCCTGACAAGATTGCACCTTTGCACTCTGAAGATGGGATAAGTAGAGAAATGCTTCTATACTAACTTTCTCATACTTCAAATAATAATTATAATGTCCAGCTGTCTTGATTGTGCCAATTTCATATCTAGCCAGTGCCAAGAAAAGCAACGAAACTTTTTGTGCTAAAACATTTTATTTTAGATTATAATTTAATATTATGGAGCTATGACAGAAAATTGGCCAAATTTTTTGGCAAGTGTAAATTGTCTATAGTGTAAACTTTAGTAAATGATCATGATGCGACAAAGGTGTTAACTTGTGTACCCCTTAGTTCTCCATAAGTCACCTATGATATTTTAAACCTTTTAACTTCAACCTCATTACTACTGTTCATATACCCAAAAACTGCACAAACAGCAATGCAAAGTACTACCGGGTATATATATATATTTAATTTGGTGGACTTCCTATCAAAGCTCCTCAGAAACCTTTGATGTATGTTTTATAGATAAACTACAGATGTTGAGGGGAGGGCAAATATGAACTAACCTTATGTATCCAGTAACATGAAACAGCTGTAGTTTATCTGGTTTGTACTATAGTGTGTGGGTGTATGAAGGCACTGTCAGTAGTATTGGCAGTTAGATGACACTTCTAACTACCCCTCCTGTGGTCTCCACTATATAAACTCATGCTGGTGCCTTTGAATCTTGATACACCCACATACTATAGTACAAACACCCTTACTATATAATAATTTTTATAGAAATGTCCTTATTTGGTTAGTGGGATTGGAAAAGAAATTTTATGTCATGGAGTAGCAGAAATAAAATTGAAAATAACAAGAAGGAACCAACTAAATGATGCACATCAGATAGACCCCCTTGTTCTTTATACGTACATTCCAGTATTTGATTCATTGAGCTCTTCAACCCATTGTACTCCGTATTTCGTGGACTCTCCTGGTGTTGAAGTCATCAATAATGATGTTAAGTCCTACTATAGCATACTGTCTGCTATGATTTATGTTGAGAACTACCTAAGGTAAATCTAGTATATTGGGATAACATTAATAATCTTAGTATACAGGCTGATGCAAAATGAAGCAAACATTATAACAGAGTTAGGTTGCAAGCCAGAAGATGGTAATTATATTATAGTTATGAAGTTCATTATGCATTCATTAAAATTGTAGTAAATTTTGTAAATACTGGTCTGCTGTCTGCATGCTAACAAATAATTCACTATTAACGTCACTATAGTTGTTTTATTAATAGCATCATTACTCTTTGCTGTGAGCCATTTTGACAAATACTACACATCACGTGCTGATGAGCAAAATCCTGACAAAAGAAAGACTAAAACTGAAGTTGAGTGTAATATGGAGTTGGTTAAACGCGGAGAGGTATTTCCCGTTTGTGGAGATTGGGCTCTACACGCACACCTTGCACTAAAGTATAAGGAAAGAGATGAGATTTCATGTGATGTTGTCGAAGAGGCATACAGGTGTAAAAGGGTACCTAAAAGGAAAAATTTTGATGAAATAGTTGACAAAGCTACATGCATTTTGGAAGTTTCAGCATTCGAAGAATTAGAAAAAAAGTAAGTGATTGTTATTAATTTGAAACAAAAGCTCTATCTATAATAGACTAAAAATTTCAATTGATCAAACAAATTTTCAGCAGTGGATCATCATGATGTACAAACAATGTATAAAACTTTTGAAACGTCCTATTCAAGCAGCAGATACTATTTTACCTATCATTGAGTCTGAAATAGCTAGTAAGTATTATTAATGTTATTGAAAGAAGAATTGAGCTAACAAATACTTTTATAGACAAAAGCAAAAATATAGAAACAATAAATGAAAAAATTGGCAATTTAAGGACAATGGAAGGAGAAGTTCAAGAATATGTTTTAGAACAATTGGAAAAGATACAGCAACTAGCATCTGTAAGTTCATGTTAATTTTGTTCATGAGAAAATTTTATATTTAAGTATAGAGCTTCTTTATGAGAAGAGTGTCTCCAAAAATTGAAGAAGAATTGCAAATATTGCGTAGGAATGGTATAGAGAGTGTGAACAGAAATTATACATTCGGACAATACTTGGAAGGTACTGCATGTATTACAATATAATTAGCATTTTAGTGGCTTAAATTACTTAATAGACTTGAACACACTTATTAATAATCTTTCTGGTCTAATTACGCAAGAACTGAATGATGAAACAAAAAGATGCAGTAAAGACTTAGGATCTGAGCTTCATAACAGATACACAAAATTGATAAGGCACATACAGTGGGCACAGGATGATTCTCGTAATGTAACTTTAGCTGCAGAAGGTATGAACTACTTAATAATAACATTTTTGTGTACCTATTATAATAGTTCAAACCCAAAATATTGCAGATAGCTGTTTTATTAGTGAGCCTTCTAACACTATAAGAGGTTTTGTTAGGTAAAATTTATGATACACATGTAGTTTCATTATGTATAATTATGTTTAAATAGGAATAGAACTCGAAACTGGAGATTATTGAATAGTGCACTCGCAGCAGCTAGTGCTGGAGCAAGTGTACTAGCTACTGGTGCAGGCTTTATGACTGCTATAGCTTTAAATGTTTTAGCCATACCAGCTATAGTATCATCAGGTGCAGTTATTACTGGGCTGGGTGGAACTGCTTATTTTATAAGACAATTTATTAACACTACAGATCAAAGTATGGAACTGAGGTAAAATAACAGATCTTCTAAATGATTAATAAAATTATACACTATAGTGAAGAAGATGTCAAAACACTGTGTGACAAAATGAAGTCTGAGATTACAATAAATTCTGCTGGAAGAATTAAGCAAAAATTTGAGCAAGTATAATGAGCAAATTAATAATATTTAATATTTGTGCTACACAGGTAGTAGCAGATGCATTGAGAGACTACAACATATTACTGAAAGCTGAATATGATCAAGAATGGGGACAAAGACTCAATCAGTGTTTGGAAGAAGTGAGAAAAAGAATACTGTTACTTTAAAAAATACATCATAATGGTAATGTGCTCAATTTTTAGGCTCAGGTTTCATTAAGACTCATATGTGAAAAGAAAACTGAGTTGACACAAGCACGTGATGAACTTAAGAAGTACAGTGATAGTCTTAAAGCTTTAGTTCAAGAAACTGAATGAATACATACACATGTATTATTCAGTCTGATGAGTCATGTAGACTTAGTACTTTTAGTTAGCAGTTAATATTTTTGTAGTTATAGTTATTTTGTATTTTTATAGATGTAGTGCATACAATATGCAAAAAGCAAACTCATTTATATTTTTTTCTAATACATATTATGTTCTTATGTTGTATAGCAAGTTCGAACTCATTAAAACCATGTACTGTATTGAAGCATCCTGTGTTTAACTCACTTAGCATGCTTTGTGGGAAACCCTATGTGAGACACAGGACACATGTACTAAAAGTTAAAGCTGTTTTGAAAGAGTCAATTTTTTATCCATTTCCTGATACAAATTGATAATACTGTAATATTATGAAGACAGTCTGAGCTGATTTCGATTATCATTATTAGGGGCGTAGGCAGGATTTTTGGAATGAGGTGGCATACATGTAGATATTATAATAATGTCATAAGTATGGCACCATAGCAACTGTAATTCTACACCACAACCATCAAAAATTTTATGAAAACAAACAGACACAAATCAAGTTTTAAAAAGTAATATTTGAACCATATAATTTTGTGCATAAATTTTAGTATAGCTCAAAAAATTAGACTACAGGTAGCAGTAATACCAATTCATACTTATAATGTAGGAGCAAATATAATGATATTGGATGAGAGGGCCAGGTTGAGAAGGCATGCAAAACCTTTCAATCTCTGAAAATTATACTATTGTATTAATACACTATGCAACCATAGTATTACAACTAACAGTATTACTTAGTAATACTTAGTAATACAACCATATAACATAACACACATACAATCTGTGTATAATGAATTTGAGAGGGCTGGGTTGAACTTGAGAAGGTATGCAAAGCCTTGAAGTTAAATCAGCCACCACATTTTATGTTCAAAGATATTCAATTCTTATGCACTATAGTCTTGTCTACTGATGCACATAAGTACAGTCATTTTCCAGGAAAGTTAAAATTATTCTAATATTTAATATAGATGTTTAGATGTGGTTTAATTACTACAAGAACACATCCTGCTTTATATCATAATTAATTAATTCTTTAATAATTATAGTAACTTAGTTGATTCATGTATGCTTAAGAAACCATTAATGCAAAGCAGAACTAGTCAGAATGACAATCAACCCAATTCCTAGCCAATCATATGACTCAAAATAATGGTCTCTGAAGTGTTGCAAGCTGCTTTACCTGGCTTGGTAACATCAGTAGATACTGGAGATGTAAGTAGTACAGTTTCTTTTAGTTTACCATTGAAATCACTGGATGTCAGTAATGAGAGTGGACTAATGTGTGTATCAGCTAGTAGGTGTGGTAAAGTGTGGATAATAGCATCACCAGAGAGCAAACCAATTGAAGTGTATTCTAGTGAAGTAGGTGTACATGTAGTTCAGTTTATTAGGGATAACAAGGACACTGAATATCTTGTAGTATCAACACAATCACATGCAATACTTGTGTTCCTAGTGGCTGATGTACTAGTAAATGCTAGTTGTAATTCACCTCTAGCATTTATGCTTTGTAATATAATATGGCGATTTTGTAGTATCAACAATAAATTTAGTACTACATTAATTAGCACTTCAAGTGATAGAAACTGTTAGGTAAGATATTATCTACTCTTGGTAAGATATATTAGCAAATTATCATGCAATAGATTTAATTACAAGAAGATGTGTACATGTCCTGCTGTATTTTCAAGGCAGTCTCAATCCAAACTCACAAATGCTGGCATGTGATTTATACAAGATGGAAAAGACAATAAAAAATTGTCCATTGGTTCATATGATGGTTACATTTACATTGGCAATTTAAATTGAAAAAATACTAGTACTAGAATTGTTAAATCTATTTATGCAATTGATATACATATTTAATTGTCATTCACAATTAATCAACATCATGTTTAAATCTTTTCTCCAGATGTCATTTCATATCCTTTGTGCCTATAGAACCGAACCTGGGCTCATTGGTTACATTATTAATTACCGTATAGCGGGTTTTTTTCAAGGATAACAAATTTCGCGAATTTCGCGGATTTTTTATGATTCGCGAAATTAAATTCCTTGAAAATCAATTTAATACGGCACAAGATGGCAGAATAGTGGAAATTCGCGAAAATTAATTTCGCAAACTTCCAGATACAGGTCATTCGCGAAATTTATTATCCTCAAAAAAAACCCGCTATACGGTATTACATGCATACAATACTACATTCTTAATTAATTATGTAGAATGCGTACATTAATTATACATGTTATCAGTATCGTCATTTAAATTACAGTGATGCCATCATTACTGCAGTATTAATTTTGTTTTCATGTACAACAATTAAAGAAATTTATAGTGTTTACCAGTTACCACACAAGCTTCTCTGCATGTGACCTAACATGAAACTACTTGAACCTATAGTTGTGTTTTGGGTGGAAATTGGATCTCAATGAATTTTCATTTCTTATGAACTTTCCTTTCAAAACACCGAGTTACAATTTGATTGTGCATGCCTACCGTACTGTGCATACATGTATATACATGTATCTGTGTTATGTATTTTACCAAGTACCAACCAACAGGGGTACTAAGAATAAGATCATCAAGATGTGGCGAACACTTTTTTCACAGACCAAAATAATAACTAATAATTATATAACTAGATCTAGTAGATTAATTGAAAGTAAACTGTAGTGTTAGATCTATCTTTGATGTTCGTTTGATCTTTCGGTTTCGACTCACATTTGTACTGAGAAGATTCAAAACTTTAGCTATGTGTCAGTGCTTTAAAAGTTAATGTGTTTACTAAAAGTTATCTATTATGATTATGACATCACTGCATGTGACTGCCTTTATCTAAAATGAAACTACTTAGTTGCGTTTTGGGTGGAAATTTGATCTCAATGAATCTTTTTATTTCTAAACTTACTTTCCCTTTAGACCATTAGTTGACTGTATCTGTCCAAAATGGGAATAAGTCCATCAAGATATCGTGAGTATTTTATTTTCAGATCAAATAATAATTATATATTTTATTATAGATCTAGTAGAAGTAGATGAATTGAAAGTAAGCTGCTATTCTTAGTAGATCTAACTATATCTTTGATATTCCAATGATCTTTTTGTATTGACTCTTGCATTACTATAGAAAAAGATTCAAGAATTACGTGACAGTGCTTTAAGAAAAATTGATGACTCTCATAAGAAATATGCCAAAGGAGGAGTTACATGCATAAATAATGAAAAATTGCAGCTATTTCTCCATCAAATTGAGAACAAAATGCTCCTAGTAGCTGTTGTGGGTGAAGGCAGTTGTGGCAAGAGTACTCTTATTAATGCCTTTTTAAGAGACAAGTATGAAAGCAAGTAATAATAACAATTGTGACTATTCTTATGTCTTAGGATCTTACCATCAGGAATTGGAAAAGTTACTGGTTTCAGGATATTTATTGGACATGACCGAGATGTTCATAAAACCCCTTGTCAGAAAGGGAATTGTAGTGTGAGTACATAAAAAAGCCAAAAGCAAATGGTAAAATCTTAATATTCCGCATTTATTTAATAGAATTGCCCATATTTGGTCAAAGGGATTGACCAAAGAAAAGACATATTTTGCCGTGGAGTTAAGGAAATTGCTTCAAAAATAGCAGAAAATAACCGATTAGATGAGAAGAATCAGATAGACCTTGTTCTTTATATTTATATTCCTTTATTTGCATCATTAAACACTTCAACCCACTTTATGCCTTACTTTGTGGACTATCCTGGAGTTGAAGATTTGAAAGATCATGTTCAATTTAGGATAGTGTCTGCTATGATTTACATTGAGAACTATGAAAGGTAAAACAATAAAATTAAACAAAAAATGAAAAATTTAAACTATTTTTCATAGGCTGCTGCAAAATGAAAAGAAAATTAAGAAACACTTACATTGCAAGCCAGAAGATGGTAATTATAGCTGTAAACTGTAAAGTTCATAAAACTATGCCTTTAATTAATGCCTGTGTAGTACTGCACTGCATGTTAGCAAATACAGTCATTATATTTTCTATTTATTAAAGCATCAACATTTTTCGCTGTGAGCCATTTTGACAAATATTACACATCATGTGCCGATGAAGAAAATCCTGGAAATAAGGAGACTAAAGCTATAGTTGCACATAATATTGAGCTGATCAAACGTGAAGAAGTATTTCCTGTTTGTGGTGAGTGGGCTCTACGTGCACACCTTGCAATGAAGTATAAGGAAAGAGATGAGATTTCATGTGATGCTGTTAAGGAGGCATATATGTGTAAAAAAGTACAGCCTAAATGGATACATTCTGATACAGTAGTTGAAAAAGCTTCACACGTTTTAAATGTTTCAGCTTTTGAAGAATTCGAAAAAAGGTAAAATCTAAACCTATATCATGCAGTTGAAGCTTAATTTTATTTAAATAGTTTAAAATATTCAATTGATCAAACTAATCTTCAGCAGTGGAATGTTACAGTGTATCAACAATGTCATGCACTTTTAGAAGGTCCTATTCAAGCAGGAGATAATGTTTTACAGATTATTGAGTCTAAAATTAATAGTAATCAAATACTGAGAAGAATTATCGAGCTATTTAATAAATAGGTAGCAAGGAAAAAGTACAGGAATTAGTGATAAAAATGCAAACTTTACATACTATGGAAGAAGCTGTTAAAAAAAGCATTTTAGAAGAATTGGAACTAGATTCACACCAAAATTTATCTGTAAGTTAATTTACATCATAATAATAACTTCAATATGAAATATAGAATTTCCTTTCAAAAAAAATACCACAAAAAATTGAAGAAAGACTGAAGTCATTTCATACAAGCTGTATGGATAGTGTTAAATCTAGTGAAAACTACACATTTGGTGAATTTTTGGGAGGTAACATATGATGTATAACAATAGATCTGGATAATTACAATTTTAAAAAATGTAGACAGGGATGTGTTTATTGAGCAGGACCTATCCATTGTGATTATGCAAGAGCTGAACAATGAAGCAAAAAAACATATTGAAGCTGTAAAATCCAGGCTTCAAGAAAAATATAATAGATTGGTAAGGCACATACTGGGTGACAGCACAACTTTCAATGTGGAAGGTATATAAAATCTTTAAAATAGTTTATACGCTTTTTAATAGTTGAAGCCCAAGAAGTTAATAGTTGTTTTACTGGTGAGCCCCCTGAAGGCATAAATGGTTTTGTCAGGTGAAATTCATAATCTGTATAATAGCTAGCTAGCTCTATGTCCAAAATAGGTATAAAGCTCAAAAGAGAAGACGGTGGAACATTCGATGGGGAATTGCTATTGGAGTAGGTGGTTTTGGAGTGCCAGGCATCCTGGTTACTATGGGATTATCAGCTTTATCAACACCGGTTTTAATCTCATCAGCTGCAGTTATTGCTGGGATGGGAATAGTTGGATCCACTTTACTCATCAGAAAAGGATTAAACAGTACAGAACAAAATACAGAACTGAGGTATATTATTAATACTAATGATTGAATAATTTATAAGAACACTAGTGAAGATGAAGTCAAGCAACTGTGTGACAAAATCAAGAATGAGATTACAAATAAATATGAAACCAAGATAAAGCAAGAATTTGAGAAAGTAGAATTAAACTAATTTCATACCACAATGTCTTATACCATAACAGGGTGTAACAAAAACACTGAGTGACTACAATGAATTGCTGAAGGCTGAATATGATAGCAAATGGAAAGCAAAACTCAATCATGACTTGGAAAAAGTGAGTGTAGAAAAATAACATAACCTAATTAAATTTTGGACGGTTTGTAGACTTATAATTTATTAGCAGTCATGAGTGATGAACAGAGTGAGTTGTCAGAAGCACTCGCTGAACTAAAGAAGCATAGCCATACTCTTCAAGCTTTAATTGATGAAAGTAAAAAATCTAAAGATCATGATTAAGATGAACTTGAAGACTATTTTACAATAATATTATGATTTTTGATGAACTCTGAGCTGTGTATATATATTAGTAGTTATGCTTAGTATTATATATTGTAGTATTTTATAGCTATAGAAAGCCACTCATAAATTTCTTGATTAATAAAACTTTAGCTAGCTATAAATTTTAAATAACAAAAATTATTTTACTTGATAATAAATTGAGTAAAACTTATGGAAATTTTGCCAAAAAAGACAAGGAGATAATTCTTCATTTTATAATGTCCTGATTCGATACAACCGTATGATACAACACACAAACAATCTGTGTGTAATGGAATGAAAGGGCTGGGTTGAAAAGGCATGCAAAGCCTTTCAAAATTTGAAGTTAAATTAGTGACCACATTTTACATTCAATAATATTCAATTCTCACGCACTTTAAGTACAGTAATTTCCAGTAAAATTAAAGTTTTATAGGATTACTCTAGCATTTGATAGATGCAACCTTTCAGTTTAGTGGTTGATAGATGTGGTTTACTATGTGAGCACATTCTGTTTTTAATCATAATTAATTAATTCTTAATTATAGTAACCTAGTTTATGATATGTTTATATTATGTTTAAGAAACCATTCATACAAAGCAGAACTATAGTCGCCAGTCGGGATGACAGTTATTTCTAGGCAATCATAGAAATTTAATACAACACTAAGAAAACTATCAAGTCAAAGTGGGCAGTAACAATGACAACACTAGCTAAACAAACCATAACTATAAAAAGTTTACTATTTCAAGATTCAAGAACACTTTCTATTTCATTCATTTGAGCTTTTGTTGTCTTGTTCTAATAATGGCATCACTGGTAAGTTAATAGATTTTCAGCTACTGCATGAATCATTGATTCTCATTTATAGGCACTGAGAAGTAGCATCAGGAGTTTAAAGCTTCACTCTTTGCTCAATAAAAATCTTGACCAAGTAAGGATTATACTGTTAATGATCTTAACTCAATGACGCATGCATGGTACCATGGCTTTTATAGAATACAACCAATGAAGTATATGAACTTTGGCATCAAAATATAGATAGAAGGAACAGGTAAGAGAAAGAAATCCTACTTGTATGCAGTATTTGATGTAGCTCTTTTCCAATATATTAGCTACAGAGATTTCCTAAAACTTCATAATTCATTTGATTGCACTCTGATAATTCAAGATGACAAAAAGATATGTGCCATGATGTGTTATAGCAGTTTACCAACAGATCTTGTGCACAATTCAAGAAAAATCCACATATTGACAGTTAGCATATAAGTCTATTATTGGGGCTTTTATATTTATTACAGCCTGGAGCTGCATACATACTACCAGAGTATCAAAGGAGAGGGATTCTTCACAAATTTTTCCTGCACATGACAATCAGAGGTATATCTGCATGCATGCAAGCATGGTGCTTAATTCAACACTTACAATTTCAGAGAAGCTCCTGCGTCCATTCACACCATTATACATGACAGCTAACTTCCTAACTTACAAGTATTATCCAGTCAGTACATAAGAATATTAAGAAGGAAGGTTTAGGATATATTGTATACATTGTAGGCTTTTCTTCGTTTTTCAGAGCATGCATATCCACGCTATGACAGGCCAACCCCTGACACTGAGAAAAGGTAACATGAGGCAAGCATGCCATAGTTATTATAGTAATATTGTACTATAGAATCATGGAGTACTATGCTCTGCACTATCTTAATTGTAGTGACACTTATGATCCTGAAAGAGGTGTAGTCCAATTACCACAGGCTGTTAAGGTATCTGCTACATAATGTATAATAAGCGAGACACCAAAGGTGCGTGGCCTTGCCCTTATTGATGTCTAGGAAGTGTTAGTAAAAAGTGATACTAAAAAGACATAATTTTATAAAGGATGGGAGCATAATAAATCAAAAATTTCTGGCAAGTGTGGCGAGTCCAATGGCTTAGGCTGTGCTATTTTGCAGTGACTCAAAGTCTGGAAACATTTTCAGATGGCATTATTATGATATTGCAAATATAACAGTTGCATGTACATGTAACTTGATAGCCTGGTCGATATTTGAGTAAAGCTTAAAATATGAGCATAATAATGAGCATAATTTGATGGAATTAGGTGCAGTTCCTAAAAGCATAATAGGCAAAAATTTAAGCACTTTGTCCACCCCTAGAAACCATTAGTCTCGTGGGGCCAGACTCAATAAGTCTGGCTAGCGAGACTACAAGACCATGTGAGAAGCAAGCTTCCAATTTTTTACCTTCTTCTAAGTGCTTATGATGTTATAATAATGGCACAAATACTGTTGCCTATAGATAGATTGAGTGACTTAGGGAGTTTAGGAGATCCTTAGACTAGTAAACTGTTGCTAGCCTGCTAGAGCACTTCCCTCGAGATAAAATCAGAGTATAGCTATAACAACTTACCAATAGGTAAGATTTAAAGAATGCCACACATGAAAACAATAACTATAGTCTTGATCTAATGGAAAAGAGTATCATTTACCTCCAGAGTACTACCAAAATTGCTGGGCATTCTCTCGTGAGTTTAAAAGCTTCCAGTACCTAGAGCTGCTCTCTAAACATCTCGAGGCAGTAAAGCAAGACTTTTTCTAACATATAAAAAAGCCTCACAGATTTAGAGCTCATGGTTGTCAAGTTATACCATAAAAACAAAACCAAGAATGATAGACAGACAGACAAACTGAGTACCTAGTCCTTGCCTATGCAAAGCTGTGCGAGGCCAATAACAGAATGTTATAATAATAATATATATACAATCTACAGAAAGAGGTTGGAGCTATTGATGAAAAACATTTAAAAAATCCACATGTCAAGTATTATGCTGAGAGGACTAACTGGGAAAAGGTATATAGAATGATTGCATATCATTTACATCATTTTATGTATAGGGTGAAGCACTGCTTGGGGTTGCTAATGTTTCATGGAAGGTTATAGCTTCAATATACAATAACTGGAAATAAACTATAGCTAAAGACATTACTATTCTTAATAAAGTTATTTTGTGGATATACATTCAAATACTTAATTTTAATTCTAGCATAAACAGAATGCATGCAAGCTATTCCTAATAAAAGGTCATTCCAAGCCTCATTAAATACACATAGGATATAATTTAATTTGGTCCCACCTTATAATGAGCAACAAACAAAAAATGTACTATGAACAGTTTATAGTTATTCCCAGTATTGAAGTTTGGTCAAATTAAGAGCAATCCATTGCATTTAAATATGCTAGCATTAAATATATATTTCTGGCAAATCTATAGACCATTATTTCACAATGAAAATGTATGCAAATATGTATTTACATCAGAATACCACTAAGAGCATGCATCAGGATCTGATAGTATTATATCTATAAAAAATTATTAAAATTTTTAGTGCTGAATAAAAGAGCCATACCCACTCATAAAAATGCATACATAATACGAGTAGTACTTGACACATTTCACAGTGCCAAGTTGTGTTCATAACAGTTGCTGTGAGCTTCACTTCAAAGTTCAATGGGATCACTGGTAAGTTGATTAATCCAGTAACTGCATGTTAATTGAGTGCCCATGATATCTTAGATATTAAGAAATGGAAACATTAGAAGCATTATAATGAGAAACATTAGAAGTCTAAAGTTGCACTCTGTACTCACTAGAGATCTAGATCAGGTATAAGTGTGTCATTATCCAGTAATAAGGTATGGAGTTATATCATAATCTTAGAAAACAAGGACTGAATTGTATGACATATGGCAACAGAATATAACTGGAAAAAATAGGTAACAAAAATTATATTAAAAAGAAATACTATTAGCATCCTGATTTGCATTTAATAAGTCATGCACTTTTAATGAACAATTAGCTAATTTTAACAAGAGTAGATAATTATGATGCAACACATTAGCACAAAAAAGTATCTGGCAACTTACAACACTGTCAAGTATTTCTGGCACAACACATTCAAATACTACAATAACTTTTTTGGATGGTGCCAAAAAAGATGAAAAGTGGCATGAGTCTATTTGCCAAATGTCAATAAATTGAAATAATGCAACAAAGAGTTTGCTGAAACATATCAAGTGATATTCATCCAACAAATATACATCTGCTGACATCACACATAGATCTACATTTTAGTTATGAGGACTTTACAGCACTTCTTGGCACATTTGACCGTACATATATAGTGCGAGATTATAGCAACGCTGGAAAAATATGTGCAACAGGAAGCTATGCTGTACTACCAACAGATTTAAGAATAAACTCAAGACAAATCCATATAATACCAGTTAGCACTTCTTATTACTGTTAATGAAAAATAACTATACCACATAGACTGGTGTTGCATACATACTACCAGAGTATCAAAGGAGAGGACTTATTCACAAATTTTTCCTACACATGACCCTCAGAGGTTAGAATATAAAGCATTTAATAGTAAAATCGGAACATTATAATAGAGAATCTCCTGCATCCATTCACACCATTATACATTACAATTAACTTCCTAACATACAAGTATTATCCAGTTAGTGTATAAGAATATTAAGAAGGAAGGTTTAGTATATATTGTGTACATTGTAGGCTTTTCTTCGTTTTTCAGAGCATGCATATCCACGCTATGACAGGCCAACCCCTGACACTGAGAAAAGGTAGCATGAGGCAAGCATCCAATAATTATCATAGTAATATTGTATTAGAGTTATAGAGTACTATGCTCTACATTATCTTAAATGTAGTGATACTTATGATCCTGAAAGAGGTGTAGTCCAATTACCACAGACTGTTAAGGTAAAATCTGGATTTAGAGAATAATTAAATGGGATTATAATATATAATATAACTATAGAAAGAGGTTGGAGCTATTGATGAAAAATATTTAAAAAATCCACATGTCAAATATTATGCTGAGAGGACTAACTGGGAAAAGGTATATAGAATGACCACACATCATTTACATCATTTTATGTAGGGTGAAGCACTGCTTGGGGTTGCTAAAGTTTCATGGAAGGTTATAGCTTCAATATACAATAACTGGAAATAAACTATAGCTAAAGACATTACTTCTTAATAAAGCTCTTTCGTGGATAGACATTGAAATACTCATGAACAGAATACATGCAGTTTATTCCTGAGAAAAGGTCATTACAACAAAGCCTCAACAAGTACACAGTAATAGGGTATGCTTCAATTTGGTCCCACCTTATGATGAGCAACAAACACAGAATGTACTACAAACAACTTATAATAATTCCCAGCATTGAAGTTGGGTCAAAGGCCTTGGCAGTAAAAGCAATGCATTGCATTTAAATCTGCTAGCACTGAAAATATATTTCTGGTAATTCTAGATCATTTTTCACAATGAAAATGTAGGTAAATAATGTATTTGCATCAGAATACAACTTGAAGCATGTAATGCTTATATGTAGACATTAGTGGTTCTTGTTGTAGGTATCCTCAAGTTGAGTCAAAGGGTATGCTTGCAATCCATACAACAAAATACAATCCATTCCTTTTAAATCTGCTAGTTTCCACTGAGTTTTTGTGCCTAGACAAACTTATATTACTGTACTGTAACAATTGCTAAAATGTATTACAAGTGCATGAATGCAGTGAGCATATAGTTGGCTACAGATAGGGCTCGTGAGACACAGTACAAAAATGCAATAAAAGTTGGAGGTGTTATAAAAGAGCCATTTTTTTATTCACTTCCTGATACATATTGATACTACTGTCAAGCTATGAAGAAAGTTTGGGCTGATTTCAGTAATAATTGGTTGTATGTTTTGTCTGTAGTAGATCCATTCTAATTACTTTGTGTTAATTATAATGTGAAACTAATTTCTAATTTGTGTCCTAGTATAGTTAGTTATTTCCTAATGCATGCTCGTGATGATGATAATTGAAGTCTAGGCATACATTATAGCACATTACATTTAATTACAATTCAGGGTTCTATAGTCACATGATTTCTGGGATAGTACTACAGAATGGTATCTTTAAAAATTTTAGTCTTGAAAAAAAAGAGCCATACTCACCCATAAAAATTTTCATATCTAATACAAGTACACATGTAGTCCTTGACACATTTCACAGTGCCAAGTTGTGTTACAGTTGCTGTGAGCTTCACTTCACAGTTCAAATGGGATCACTGGTAAGTTGATTAACTGTTAACTGAGTTCCCATGATATCTTAGATATTGAGAAATGGAAACATTGGAAGCATTAGAATGAGAAACATTAGAAGTCTAAAGCTGCACTCTGTACTCACTAGAGATCTAGATCAGGTATAAGTGTGTCATTATCCAGTAATAAGGTATGGAGTTATATCATAATCTTAGAAAACAATGACTGAATTGTATGACATATGGCAACAGAATATAACTGGAAAAAATAGGTAACAAAAATGATACACTTATTAAGCTAAAAAATAATGATAGTTCCATAATTCCATCATCCATTAGCATCCTGATTTGCACTTAGACTTAGGTGTTTTTAATGCACAACTAGCTACCATATAGCTTGAAATTTTCGTGGAATGTAAATTTTGTGGTTTTCGTGGTTGTGGGGCTGCCCACAAAATTTAAACCCACGAAATCATTGAAGTGCCATCCCCTTACAGGCTATGTAAACTGTCAACCACGAAAATTAAACCACGAATTGCCCCACCCAAGAGCAAACCACGAAAATATCAACCCACGAAAATATCAAGCTATACGGTAATTCTTACAAGAGTAGACTATGATGCAATACATTAGCACAGAAAAAGTATATGGCACTATATCTACAACACTGTCAAGTATTTCTGGCACAAAACATGCTAATACCACAATTATAACTTTTTGGTGCCAAAAGATGAAAAGTGACACGAGTCTATTTGCCAAATATCAATATATTGAAATAATGCAAGATAGGGTTTGTTAAAACGCTGCCATGATGTACATGTATACTGACATTGTACACTTACATTTTAGTTATGAGGACTTTACAGCACTTCTTGGCACATTTGACCGTACATATATAGTGCAAGATTATAGCAATGCTGAAAAAATATGTGCAACAGGAAGCTATGCTGTACTACCAACAGATTTACAAATAAACTCAAGACAAATCCATATAATACCAGTTAGCACTTCTTATTACTGTTAATAAAGAATATAGCTATCCCACATAGACTGGTATTGGATACATCCTGCCACAACATCAAAGGAGAGGGATTCTTCAAAAATTTTTCTTGCACATGACCCTCAGAGGTTAATAAATGACTAAATTAATAGCAAAAGTGGAACATTATTATATAGAGAAGCTCCTGCATCCATTCACACCATTATACATGACAGCTAACTTCCTAACTTACAAGACATACTCAGTGAGTACATAAGAAGAAGGTTTAGCATATATTGTGTACATTGTAGGCTTTTCTTCGTTTTTCAGAGCATGCATATCCACGCTATGACAGGCCAACCCCTGACATGGAGAAAAAGTAAAACTAAACCTTAACATGCCAGTAACACTTATTATTATCATGATTCATATCATTATTACTAGAATCATGGAGTACTATGTTCTGCACTATCTCAATTGTAGTGACACTTATGATCCTGAAAGAGGTGTAGTCCAACTACCACAGACTGTTAAGGTGCATAGTGTATAATAAATGACAGAATGTTATACAATGTACAGAAAGAGGTTGGAGCCATTGATGAAAAACATTAAAAAAATCCACATGTCAAGTATTATGCTGAGAGGGCTAACTGGGAAAAGGTATACAGAATGACTGCATATCATTTACATCATTTTATGTAGGGTGAAGCACTGCTTGGGGTTGCTAATGTTTCATGGAAGGTTATAGCTTCAATATATAATAACTGGAAAGGAACTAGCTAAAGATCACTGTTTTGATAAAGTTGCCATTTTTGTAAACATAAATTTCTTTACTTTATTTAGAAATTCTAAAAAATTAGCCCAACTTATAAATAAAATGTTTTACTCAATAATTATATAAACAGAATCAGCAGCTATGTCTACCTAAAAAGTTTGCTTGTATTTTTTCACTTCAACCATGAGGTGGTGAATGTTAATGAGCTCACTACGGACTGAGAGAGTCTTGAAAGGATGCTGGGAGAGGATTTTATTAAAGCGATGGTAATACTGTATCAACTGACCAAGAGCCAACTAGTAGCAAAACAAAAATAAATAGGGTTGTTTAAAAAACTTTGAAACCAGCACAAAGGTCTTTATGAATAGGAGGGAAGAGGTATTTTTTATTTCCAACAAGTTCAGTAATGCTAGAATTTTTAGATTGTGGTACATAGAACAAGCAGGATAAGGAATTAAATACAAGTTTAACATGTTGTCTGTACAAATATAAAAGAAATTAGGCTGTGGGCCACTTGTAATGTACATGTACATGTACATGCATGCAAATCTCTTCTTACTTGCAGAATTGCTGTTCCATTCTTAAAGTTAGTAAAAGCTTTCATTACTTCATTATTAATGGACTCCAAAGATTTCTTCCAGTCCGAATTGAAACCACGAACCAAATTTTGTATATGCTCTATGAAAAATAGAATATTAATTCACTATTACTACAACTCAATGAGCTCATTATTAAACTATGAGCTATGACTGTGTTGATACTGTAGCAATGATTCATAATGCTTCAGTCATACTAGAATGGCTGCTAGTATTTATTTGTTTTTTACTATTTCTCTTACTTTCATTGACAGTTATTCTAGCCCTGTCTCTCTCAAGGAGCAGCTCAGTGTCTTTAACAAAAGCAGTCATTCCACCAAAATATGGAGACAATACCTTTAACAGGAACAAGAAACACATACATAGCATATCAAGTTGATTTTATTGTATTATATATAAGCTATTTTTTATATTGAAATTTGTGTTGCATTACACGAAATTCATAAGTCAATCATGTACAGGTACATTATTATAAATGTAACTTACTTCTTCAACAAATTCTTGCGTTCTTGCATGAAGTAAAGATTTGAATGTTTCGGATTCCTTTGATTCATCAGATGTCCTTTCCTATTACAACAACACATACATATATTACCTTCATCTTTTCTCTCATTTCTCTTACTGTTAATACTGCAAGCATCATATCATAATTATTAATCAGAAAAACTAGCTGCTCTTTACGGTCTGGAAACTCTGCCGCCATTCTTAGTATAAAGTTCTCAACTTCAGATTGAAGTGAGGAGAGACTTCTGTCAACCTGTGGGGGAGGGCGGGGCTTAAAGTGTTACTATGAAATGATGAGTACCTGTTCTTTAGGTTCACTTTGATTAATGCTTACAAGAGCAGCGGAAAATTCAGCATAACGTCTGGTAATCTACAAAAAAGAGAGTTGGAGTTTACACTTTTTGAGTTATGAAAAATTTGCCATTTTCCGTAAAATACCCTGTACTATAGCCCATGCTTTTTTCTGAAAAATGGCTAAAAAATCACCCCCCCCCCCCCCAATTTTTATTACATTTTTTGATATATATTGACTATGTAGAAAGTTTGAGCTAATTCTGACTTCAATTTTTTTAGTTACGGCCATTTAAAAAATGGGCCATTTTCTGAAAAATACCCTGTACTATAGCCCATGCTTTTTTCCAAAAATGGCTAAAAAATGACTCCCGATTTTTATTACATTTTCTGATACATATTGATGTCCTAATGCTATGTAGAAAGTTTGAGCTGATTCCAACTTAAATTTTTCAAGTTACGGCCATTTTAAAAAATGGGCCATTTTCTGAAAAATACCCAAGGCTATAGCCCACGCTTTTTTCCAAAAAATGGCTAAAAAATCATCTCCAATTTTTATTATCATTTTTGATATATATTGATGTCCTTATGCTATGCAGAAAGTTTAAGCTGATTCTGACTTAAATTCTTCGAGTTACGGCCATTTTAAAAAATGGGCCATTTTCTAAAAAAATACCCTATAGCCCATGCTTTTTTCCAAAAAATGGCTAAAAAATCACCTCCAATTTTTATTACATTTTCTGATACATATTGATGTCCTTATGCTATGTAGAAAGTTTGAGCTGATTCCAACTTAAATTTTTCGAGTTACGGCCATTTTAAAAAATGGGCCATTTTCTGAAAAATACCCAAGGCTATAGCCCATGCTTTTTTCCGAAAAATGGCTAAAAAATCACCTCCAATTTTTATTACATTTTCTGATACATATTGATGTCCTTATGCTATGCAGAAAGTTTAAGCTGATTCTGACTTAAATTCTTCGAGTTACGGCCATTTTAAAAAATGGGCCATTTTCTAAAAAAATACCCTATAGCCCATGCTTTTTTCCGAAAAATGGCTAAAAAATCACCTCCAATTTTTATTACATTTTCTGATACATATTGATGTCCTTATGCTATGTAGAAAGTTTGAGCTGATTCCAACTTAAATTTTTCGAGTTACGGCCATTTTAAAAAATGGGCCATTTTCTGAAAAATACCCAAGGCTATAGCCCATGCTTTTTTCCGAAAAATGGCTAAAAAATCACCTCCAATTTTTATTACATTTTCTGATACATATTGATGTCCTTATGCTATGTAGAAAGTTTGAGCTGATTCCGACATAAAATTTTTGAGTTACAATCATTTTTAGAATATGCCCATTTGTGCTTAGACATATATAATTCTCTCATTCTCACATAGTGTGGTCTTGTATCAATATGTCCTAGTCTTGATGGGTCAGCCTCTCTCACACTGGCTACATTTAATGTGAGTATGTGCCTAAACCTCGGCCACAATAATGACTGCAACTCCTCAGAATAACTACAAAAAAATTAATTATAATAATTATTAATAAAAAGCAAGACTGTTCTGTAGCACTATACACAAGACATAACTATTATTAAGGAATAATTTCATGTAGATAAATATTATGTTGTAGCTAATATTGCATTACCTATCCAGACAAGTTATTTGTCTTTTGTGGAGTATTGCGTTGAATCTGTAGTCGATGTGAATGCAGAGGAATAGGCCAATGGCATCATAGCAACTGTCACAATAACTCTCTATGTTTCTCTATTGACATGATAATAATAATAATAATAATAATAATAATAGTAATTGATTTTACATGTACACATAAAAGTCTTCTTTTTCTCTTTTAGATAGGGTTTCCCACAAAGCATGCTAAGTGAGTAAAAAACAGCATGAGCTTCATAAATTGACAAGTACTGGAGGATTGAGCAAGTGTAAAAATTTATAAAAAAACTAATTTTGATTGGAGTCAGCTCAAATTTTTTTACACAACATAAGAAAATGTATATGTATTAGAAAATGTAATAAAAATTGAGAATTCTTTATTTTTCATTTTTGGCGAAATTTGGCCAACGACCCTGTACTATAGTACAGGGACTTTGGCCTGATTTTTGAGTACAGTAAATCCTGTGGGGAACTCTGTTATAGAGTCTCTCTTCTTCTCTCCCCCCTCTCTTAATCATTAATCTTACCAGTATCAGTTGTAATGTTTTACTGAAAACAGAATCAAAGTATTCCTGACAGGAAGATAAAGTCAAATTAAAGAACTCGTTAATGAAAAGGAATTCCCTTGAAGCATTGTCCACCAATGCAAAATGAAGGCTCCTGAATAAAGCCTCAAATGGATACTAAAAATATTAAAGATACATTTAATGTACAATAGATTCCACATTATTACTATTATTATTATCCCAATAGATATACCGTATAGGGGGTATATTTCCCCGGGGAAAATATTTCCCGAAAAAGACCTTTAAACCTATTCACAAGAAAAAAATTTTGCGTTTTTCTTCTACTGACCATTATTAGTATGGTAAAAAAATAATTTTCACAGATAAAAATTTTTACGAATTTTTTAAAACCGCGAAATTAGCGAAATTAAATCCCCATGAAATATACCTCCTATACAGTAATAGTTATACATGTACAGTGTGCCTGTAAATGAAAGGGGTTGAAAACTTTCATTTCAAAATACACAAAAATTAATATTTTCAATTTTGTGTTTTGACTGTTATCCCATTCATTTTTAGGGACTTTCTGCTTAAATCACATTAAAGGTTAAATCTGCCTTGGTTACTGCTACAGTAGCTCTTTATTTTCTTACTCTTTTCTCAGTTTTCTGTGCTTGTGGTATGACAATTATTGGATCCTCCAGTTCAGTAGTCAGTACAGTGTCTCTGTGCCCAAGAGTAAATACTGTTGACCTGTTCTTGTATGTACTTCTACTTGAGAACAGGCCACCTGTACAATAGGATCAGGTAATCAATGGGAGCATAGCTATTTAAACACTACCTCTTTTAGCAGAGTCTTCCACTCCCATTAAATCATCTTTCTCAGCAACTTCCTCAAACTAAAAAATATATAATAATCATTTCTAACCATTTTTTTCACTAGTTTTACAACTAAAAAAGTTTTTACATTTATAATATACATGTATAAGTTTTCCTTCTCCTCTCTCTCTTCTCTCCCTCACTTGTAATTTCATTAGTTTGTGGTAGTAATCCTTGAAATAAGAATAATATATTTTACTGAGTGTGTCCACGTATTCTTCTCTGATCTGATTAGCAGTCTCCCTACTGTGAGCTAGCAGAAACTCATTAAAATACCTTCAAAAGAAAAAATAGCAATAAAAGAAGCCTTAGCTTAGAAGCCTACTGTACAAGACTAAGTTTTTAAAATACAGAATACAAAAGTTGCAACAATATTTATGGTGGTCAATTTAGATGGAAGGGGTAATTTTTAATAATAAAAAAATTACTTATAATTAAGTAGTTGATTCTGGAGCATCTGGTAGTTAGCCATTGGACGTCTAAACTGGTAAATTCTGCTGATAATAAACTCACGAGTTTTAGTGATTGCCTATTAAAAAAATAATAATCAAAAATAATAAATTCTCTAATACTTTGATCTTCAATTTCACTAGTACGTCGTGGACATCATAAACTGAGCGATACTCGTTAAAGCTTTGGAGGTTGAGGAACTTTAATTTCTCGTCTAATTCTCGCAACGTCTCACTAAACTCTTTTTCGCTAGCAGGAGTATCAGTAATATGCCTAGAAAAAAATTAAGTCTCGTTATTTTTTAATTTTCTCATTACTTACTGTACAAGATGCTCGCTAACTGAAATATTCCTTAAATACGAAGTCAATTCACTTCTGACAGCCTACAAAAATAATAAATTAATGAACATATACACTTATTACTAATTAAATAGATTAATAATCACCTGTCTGTTTTGAAGTTTGGCACTAAGAGAGTGAGACTGGTCCTGCAGTGACTGTATTTCAGTGCTAATGCTACCTAAATCCAACTAGCAATTAAAAAAACAATATAACAACAATGTTGCTAAAAGGGAGGAAAATTAGCATTATTAGTAGTAGTAGTATTACTTGAAATTTGCTTAACATTTCCTCCATTCTCTAATATGGAGAAAAAGGCATAATATTATGACATTACTAATTTGTTACACTTTACTAACTGATAGTATATCATCACAGTTCTTGATCTGATAGTGGAGACTAGCGATGCTGTCGCTTTGCTTGATGTCTGCATGTGAGAAGAAATACAATGCAATAAAGTCATGCAGTTCACATACAAGTGTCTATAGTAGCTTTGTAATTAGGGCATGCAATGAGATATAGCAGAAATGTTGCAGCCAGGATACTATACAGGTATTATAGTACTGGCTATTGAGCTTTTGTCACAGTTTTACTACTGGAAAATTAATATCTGTAAACCTCAGCTACAGGGCTACTATACATGATGAATGACTGATTCCCTTTCAGGCATTGAGAGGTAGAATGATGAGGAGTTTAAGACTTCACTCTTTTCTCAATAAAAATATGAACCAAGTAAGAGTATGATACTAGCAATCAGTGGATTACATGTTTGATCTTATAGAGCATTACTAATGAAGTATATGAACTATGGCATCAGAATATGGATAGAAAAAACAGGTAAAAGAATCAAATAATCATGACTTGTAATACACTGCTAAACTCATGCAGTATTTACTTTTTTAAAACTTATTAGCTACAGGGATTTCCTAAAACTTCATGATTCGTTTGATCGCACTCTGATAATTCAAGATGACAGAAAGATATGTGCCATGATGTGTTATAGCAGTTTACCAACAGATCTCGTGCTAAAGTCAAGACAAATCCACATATTGACAGTTAGCATAGAAGTCTATCATTGGATGCTAATTTACTGTCAAATTACAGCCTGGAGCTGGATATATACTACCAGAGTATCAAAGAAGAGGAATTCTTCATAAATTTTTCTTTTACATGACCCTCAGAGGTTAGAATATAAATCACTTATTTATAATAAAAGTTGAAAAATATTATAGAAAAGCTTCTTCTGCATCCACTCACAGCATTATACATGACAGGGAACTTCCAAACATACAAGATATACCCAGTCAGTACATAAGAAGGAAGGTTTAGCATATATTGTGTACATTGTAGGCTTTTCTTCGTTTTTCAGAGCATGCATATCCATGCTATGACAGGCCAACCCCTGACATGGAGAAAAGGTAGCATGAGTCAAGCATCTCATAATTATCATAGTAATATTGTATTGTAGAATCATGGAGTACTATGCTCTGCATTATCTTAAATGTAGTGATACTTATGATCCTGAAAGAGGTGTAGTTCAATTACCACAGACTGTTAAGGTGCATAATAAAATAACAGAATGCTTAAACTATTATATATACAGAAAGAGGTTGGAGCCATTGATGAAAAACATTTAAAAAATCCACATGTCAAGTATTATGCTGAGAGGACTAACTGGGAAAAGGTATATAGAATGCCTAACTACCATTGACATCATTTTATGTAGGGTGAAGCACTGCTTGGGGTTGCTAATGTTTCATGGAAGGTTATAGCTTCAATATACAATAACTGGAAATGATAATGACTTTTAAAATTATACTTGTATAACATATCATCATTCATGATAAAATTAATTCATACACTCTAAGTTTTGACAGCAAAAGATTCATATTTGTTTAACACAGCAATACAGATTGATAAAATTTGATTATCATTACATTAGTGGAGACTGAAAAGGAGATCAGATCACATTTCCAAGTAAACTAGATCACAAGGATTACTTCATCCTGTGTCTCAATAAAAATACTATAAACTCCTATAGTTCAGTTGCTGTTGCTCATTGTAATTCTCTTTATACGTTGAACATAGGCACTGAT